GTGTTTGCTTCTTAGTGTGAAGGGCATGAACAAAGCCACTTCCTCAATGGGATGCATTTTGCCTTCCAAAGCATTGCCACTTATCACAACCTTCTATTTCACATCAACTTTTAGAGGATCTAAGAATAACAGAATAACACTGTTAGAATTAATCATTTAAACTCAACAAAAAGCCCACTTTAGTCACCAGGAAATCTAATAAGGGATGGTTTCAGATCAAAGAGTAATTTTGAGCCACTGCAAAGACAGATCAACTTAAATGAGGAATTGGAGGTAAACTTCTTCTGAAATTCAGTAATTAAATACAAAGGCAATTTAGAGTTTTTGGGTTGTCTGTCTACCATGACAATGTACGATTGCCCACGTCAGCGCAGTGCCTCAAAACACTTTGCATTATAAATCACAGATTTGTGAATAGCATTTGTGCAACTCACTGCAAGTGCCACTGGTTGCAATTTGCAGTGCATTAAGCGGAGCACCAACTAGTGGCTGCAATATTCACAAAGAGCACTTCTTTAATATTGACTGGAATGGATTTTCCTGTGGTAAGTGACGCAAGCTGCTGCTGTCTGATTATGGCTGGGGCTGCAATGTCAAAGTACAATTGGGCTGAACTCCTGCTGCCTAGCACTGAGAATTTGTAGTGAATGTTTTACACGTTTATATAATTCATTGTTTGGTGAATGGTTTTTTGTCTCTAGTTAGACAGCATTTTTAGGAACAAAAAAGTACATGTTTCAGAGTAGTTGTTCTTCTAACACATTTGCTCATCTCCATGGTAGGTTCCTAAACAACTGGATATAGTAAAACTTCTTAGGGGCATGGAACACTGCTGCTTGTTAGCAATAAGATTTTATACTATTTGTGTAGCCTTTAATTTTCAGATCCTGTAACAAATTAGATATGCTTATAAAATTAATGAAAATAATTACTTTCTAGTATTACTAACTAACAAAAACCAACATTCGGTCCCTTCATTTCAAGTGATAAAAGGAAAGCAGTTACACCAGCTCAGTGAAACTGAACTGTCTCTTCCAGAGAGGCTCACTGGTTTAGTGGGGAGCTGGATAGGAAAACAGAGGAGGGCTACCACATGAAGATGGGCTCTGCATGAAAACTTCTTATTTCATTCTCTTTTACTTCCTCTTTTAATGTTTTTTGGTTTTGGTGTTTTTTTTGTTTGTTTGTTTGTTTGTTTTTAAGATAAAAGCCATGCATACCACAACTATATTTTGCCTGTTGGTGACCAGAAATGGTAGTGCTCTGACATCAGTATCTATATACCATTAGGTAGATGCAGAGCTATGAGTTTGTCAGGAGCTCTGCTTTTATGAAGGAAACGGGATCTCCTACTGAGCCACTTGCCAAGCATTGGCTCCTATTGTTTGTCTCACGGCCTGGCCATTGCTCACTGGCTAAAAGTACAGATACTATTCCAGGATCCTATTGTAATTCCACAAGTATGTGAAAGCAAGTAAAACTAAATTCGGGAACATTGGTACTGTTGTGAGATCATCAAACATTAGCACATTTGTGAGGTCTACCATCCTGGCCTTGTTCCCTTCCCCGCTCTGTCAATGACTTTGTGCCTCTGCCGTTAGAGTAGAAAAGTTCTGTGATATATCTGCTCCACCAGTAGGGAATTAGAGGGATAGAGCTGGGTTGCCCTCCCCAGGTAGTGGCACCTCCATCTGAGCCAAGAGCTGTAGATATGCAAAGTCCCCATGTAAATGTAACTCACATGAGCAGAGAATGAGCCTGAATAAGTGGGAATAAGAAAATGGCACTGTAGCTCAGCATGACAGGAGATGAGTTACTGACACCAGCATTAGCATCTGCTATGGTTTCATGATGCAGAAATGCATCCAGAAGCAGATTTTGGCTGCTGCAACATGAGCTGGAGGATGAAGAAAGAGAAGGTTGGTGCTGGGGGAAAGATGGATAGCTATTCAAAACTTCCTGATGTCCACTACTCACCAGGACTTTCAAAGGCTTGATAAGATTGTGGTAGGAAGCAGTACATTACCTATAGCATTATCTACAGTCCTGCACTGCACAGGTGAATTAAAAGCATACTTTACTGAAGCTCAGTCTACCACAAATAAAAAAAAAAAAAAGCTGTAAGTAGAGAACAAATAATTGAACAGCCTGAATTTATGGCAATGATTATGATAAGTTTTTATAACAGGCACTGGTAGGTCCTCTTTATAGAATCCCTATCCAGAGACAAACTTAAGCACAAGTTTAGGTACTTTCCTACTATGTGCTTGACTAGCAGGAGAGTTTAAAGGACCTGTTTAACACTAAGCTAATTTTTGGTGTTTTCTTGGCTTTTCTTACTTTTCCATTATAGGCTCAGACCAACAAAATTCTTTCATCTCAGCCCCTTTTTACTTATTATGTAAAATTTCAAAAACAGTAACTGATGCAACATGACAATTAAATTAAATTACCTACCCATCTCTAGCTTGGAGCCTCTTATGCTACGTAAAGAACCAGTATGAAAATCAGCTCAGAATATAGAATGCAGGGAACCCTAGACAACGCTTGCTTCTCACACACTAAATCCTTGCCATTGTTTTCATGCTGCTGGGACCGCTGGTTTCTCCTTTCCTGGTCACTGCAAATTTTAGGATTAAGGCAAAATCCCACTGGTCAGTTCTTCTGAAGCTGTTAAACCTTTGCCCCATAGCAGATGGTGCTTCATAAGGTAGGACTTTATGTTTTAGAAACATCACTCTCAAGAACCATATCGTGGTGCAGAGGAAGGGATCACAGATAGTCCATAGGAAAATATAAGATAGGAAGAAATTTGCACCGCTGAAATCACTCTTCAAATGTTAAATGAAGAAAAGGTTGAGAGTTTTATTCTAAGAAGTGCATCACACACAGGATCAGATATTGTTGCCATGGCTGGCTTCCTTTATTGCTTTGACTAAATCCGTATTTGATGCATTAAGGATGGATTGGGTTACTCCTGAGTAGAAGTAGGTCAAATTGTCTTTAAGCCACAGCTCCCTCACTCATACACATGACTGAAGAAAGCACTATAGATTCTTCCCTAATTTTTCAAAATCCTTAGCATGTTCAGTTGCAGGGCAGTTCATAAATTGACTTGAAGTTAATGCATAATGCCATCTAGTGGGAAAATCAACAAGTATGGATGCAAAAAGTTTGTCTAGATATCCCATGAAATGTAAGTCTAATTAATGTCACAACCACTTGTCAGTTTTCATACTGATTTAAATTTAAAGCAAAAGAGCTATAGTTTAATTTTCAAAACCTCCATAATAAAAGATCTTCACCAGATTTGAATATATTCCAAAGATGTTTAATCCCTAAATGCAAGGTATGCAAATCTTGGTCTCAGTGAACTTGTATACACAATGATTGTAGGATATCAAACGGACCTTGGAAGTATCTTGATTTTCTGTTCTAATTTTACTTAAGGATTGAATTTCTTGATCAATAAAATGAAACACATTTCAAGCTGGTAAGGGAGAGAATTCAAAGAAAAACCTGTGGTTCTGGAGAGTTCCAGATTGAATGGTCATCTGCAGAACTATGAGGTCACTTTTATGTGCCCATAAACAAATAAAAGTCAGAAAGAAGATAGTGAAAAAGTGCCTAAAAATCAAATTTATTCAATCTAAAGGAAATAGGCTAGTCGTAAGTAGAATAAGTGGCCAAGAGAAGCTACTTGTATCAGATAAGTAACATACTCTGATAATAGCCTTTCTAAAATCAACATCAAGGGAACAATGGAAGAGAAGTAAGCCATCAGAATTTTATCCTTCATAAAAGCATAGCACCTGACATTTATTGGTGAATTAAATCAGTCTCCAAACCTCTGCACATTTTGCATCAATCTGTTTTGATACTGTTCAACGTAGAATTTCCTAGGTAAAAGCTTATGAAACCCTTGATCTTTATATTATTTCAATCCTACAGATGTAGACAGGAAGGAGCCAGTGGAGATTGCTTAGTTCAGCTATCTCTGAGAAGGATTATTAGCTCCCCTACACATGGTCAAATGTGGATGTAAGTGGATTTTTTCCAGCTGAATTTAGAAATCCTCCAGTGAGGAAGATTCCACCACCTCTCAGTAAACTCTTTTGCTGCTGCATGAAGATCCCAGCAAAGAGTATTTTGTAATGTCCAGTTTCAACCTCAAGCCACAGCTTTTGACCATTGCCCCAGGTAATCTACTCTTACAGGTCTGTTCATTTTTTCCCCTTAGTTATGAGAAGAATACTGAGATACTTTCTTAAGGAAGGGAAAAAGGACAAGCAGTTCTACTGAAGATGTAAAACAGACATTGGTAATAGTAATAAAAAAGTATCTTATAGGCATGAAATGGGTGTGTACAAGCTTTCCAACAGAACAGTGTGAAAATTAAATTAAACGTCTGTGTCTATTGACACAGTATATACTGAACCCTGAAATTGAAAATTCAGGCAGTCTTGATAGTGAAGAAGGAGAAGCTGTTTGTATTACTACATAACTGCACAGCCCTTTAATTTTAGGGCACCATTGACAGCTTTACAGAAAATCCAAACAAAGCAGAAAATGAATTTGTCATAATCCGACTCAGTTATGTGACTGACACCTCCCTCCTCCTTTTTGGTTATGGGACAGTTTTATTGTGGCAGATGTTAAAAACCTCACATTTCCAACTCCAAACAGCAATTACCGTTCTCTATAATCATCCTAGATAAGCACTCAAGTGCAGATGAACAGAACTCTATTTACAATTTACTTGGCGTAAGAACAGTATAAACATTATATTATTACCTTGGTATAGATCAGTGAACAGGTATTTCCTCGAATACATACATTGTCTTTTGGTTAGAAAAATAACTGGCAGATGACACTAGTTGCCAAGGAATAAGATTTTAATCCAAGTCACAATTTGGAGAGTTTAAAAGACTGGAAAAGCAAATAGATGTGGGTTGAATACCATTATGCATAAAACACAACATGTTTATTTTCTGGCACAGGTGAATCCCATAATTAAATGCAGCTGGTCCCTTTTCTCATAAAAGTCTTACCTCCAAGGTGGGTATTACCATGTCTTAAAACATATTTTCTGATGCATAAGGTTAGAAATATAAGCTATACATTTGTAATAAACCTGTGGATCTGCACTGAATAGGAAACAAATGTGTGTTTATCTTTGTACACAGAACTCTTAAAATTTATGTCTGACGTGGTGGGAAAAGATTGCAGTAGGCAGGCATGTGAGAAGGAATGGGCATTGGCTTGGAAATAGGACAGCAGACCCAATCTGTATGTGATAAAAACATGTGGTGGTTTCTGTGGTTTAGGCATATCAACTTAATGGAAAATTGTGAAAGATACTGGAGTTATGCACATATGTTGGAAACGTCTATCATTAAGATTTATGAATTGTAATGAAGAAATTATGAGTCATTGAATAAGTTTATTAGAAAATTTTACTGATTCTACTCCCTAGGAATTTCCTAGTTTTCTATTCTTCTGTTCCTTGATGCAGAAATGAAATCTCATCTGCTGATACTCACATATTTATTAAGCTGTGGTTAGAATCTCACTGGAAGAAGACATAGCTCCACATAGCATAAGAAGTTCCAGATTCGTCAGAAGTTATTAGAGAAAAAAAAAATACAACTGAAACTCAGCAGCAAAAAAGGAAAACTATCAATTAAAAATCAGGTTGCCTCCTCTTTAAAATTCAGTTCCCTTTCTTTTCCACCTTTCTTGTACTCTTGCGGATATTATCAATGAAATATTACTACTATGATTGCCAAGTCAGTTTCACTCCATTCACTGGAAACAAAGCATCTTTAGCGATGTAACGTAGTTGGGAATGGAGGCACACATCTTTCAGGGCTGAGCAGCATTTATCTGAGCAAAATGGTAAGCTTTGGTGTTGTAGGTAAACCTTTTGGTTTCCCATATTTACACAGAAATTTTAACTCCAATTTACAACAGCTTTTAAAAAAGCGTTAAGATGGAAAATGACCGCTGTGAAGAATCTGTTTCCAGAGCTTTTCATTACTGCAAGATGACACATATTGCATGCTGTGTTTTTGTGCCTCCTTTGTTGCAACAACGGCTTTTATTAATGCTGGTGGCTCCTGCTAGCTTGGGCATTTTTTGCAAATATGATCCTGCAATATCATATAGAAGAGTAGGTGCTTATGTGAGGTTCGTCAATTACTTGCCAAGGTCATACATGCTGTATTCCCTGGGAATCATATTATAGGCTCTCCTTCATAGCCTGAAGGAAGTCAGCAAATTATCAAACTCTTTTCTCAAAACAACATTCTGATTATATTTGATCCAAGTTAATAATCAGACTAAAACTATGGAAGTGAGGACTGCACAGCACAGTGAATAATCTATAAAAAGAAAATACTAATTTCATTAAAAGAAGTCTGTTAAATATAGAATCTGGAGGATTTAATCACTACAGAGGCATATTTCATCTGTTAGTTTTAGCAGAGAAAGTGTCTCAATGGTGAGAATGATGTACCACTTCATGCACACAACTGAATGAGGATGCTATTACCTCCTGCTGTGGTGCCATGAAGGGCACATTGATAGAAGTAAGAAATGAACATTTTCTTCCAAATGTCAGGCATAAGGCCTCTGCTAGACCAAACGAAAAAACCGTCCTGGCTAACACCGCCAGAAAAAGGCCATTTTTGTGTTTGGGATGTGTATGAAACAAGGGCCTGAAAACAAAATGGCTGATGGTGACAGAATTGTATTTCTCTTATGTCTTTAAATATAGTAAACATAATCACCAGGCAGGCTGACCAGCTCTTTCCTGATGTGCAAGAGGGCTCCCAGTTGAAGTGCTGTTAATGATGTTAATGAAATCAAGAAAACTTTCTCTCAGAAGCTTCTGGGCACACCACAGTGTTGTTATTTCAGGTGTATGGGAACAGCTGAATCAGGGCCTGAACCTCTGATTGACCACCTGAGGCGAGCCATGAGTCAGCCCTGGGAGTACAGGTGAAGGCAATTCACCCGTGCTGCTGGAAGGGGGGGAGCCTGGCTGCACCTCTCCTGGACCCATTTAAGAGCTGCTACCAGGGGGGAATGGTCTCTTCTGGAGATCCCTCCTTTGGAGTTTTACAGCGAGCTCAGGACAAGGGTAAGCCCTCTATCTATTCTCTTTTTGGTATAGCAACCTGCTTAGCCAAACTCTCTTGTTTATTTCATAGTTATGACGTCTGTATATTCACTGATTATACACAGGTGAAAGCATTTGTGTCAGTAGTGCTAACAAGAAGATAAAACAGAGAAAGTCCATAGTTTTCAGAATAACAAGTAAACATGTGATACTTCTGAGCTCCACACGGATTGAAAAGGAATGAGAGATGTTCTGCAGCTGTACAGTGCAGACTGAAAGACAAGGACTTATTTCACTGTTGTCTCCCATTGGTTCTACTCTCACTCTATATGATACAGTAGCCCCATATTCTTTCTGCCTTTTTGCACTGTGGTACTCTTTGCTGTGCCATAATAGGTGTTGATGGTACTGTGGGGAGCATGTTTGAGTGAAACAAGGGGGCTGTGACTCAGGAAGAGAAACTACTGTGCTGCCAAGAGGTTGCTTATTTCCTCAGGAGAATGTCTACCTTGGAAAAGAAAAAATAGATGGGCCTAATCCAAATTTTGTCAAATGTAACAAATTCTGTGGATGCTGGGAGGTAGAGTGGGCCTGAAGGAAAAAGCTCCAATCTGAGAGTGGTTTTTCCTTTATTCAGAACAAAGAAGGAGGAAGGTTAGAAAGGAAGAAAGTACAAACCACCACCACAAATAACCTCAGCAAAACCAGACTACAGACAATCCAGATGATGAAAACTCCTGCTTGTCTTCATCTTTTCTGGTTGCTGTAGTGCAAGAGAGCTCCATTTTGTTTGGAGCCACCATTTCATGGAAGCCAGAATGCTATGGAAATTGCAGGTGGTTCTAACAGAGCAAAATTCTGTGAGTGTGTATTAATCTTGCAGCAGCTGCAGCATTTGGCATGGTATCAGTCTACCCAGACTGAACCCAGGGAAATGGTTCCTTTCCTTTTACTTTGTTCTTGTTGTTCATACCCAACAAAAGGATATTCAAGGGGCCAAGAAATAATATTATATAATTATTATGGTCGGGCCTTTTTCTCTTAATTATCTTTGTGTACACACTTGCTAAACAAGAAGTACAACAGGGCTGGAAAATCAGACTCAGACCTTTAAACCCCCAACTCTACTTTTTTTTTATCCAATGGAATATACTTTGGGTGAAGGAGCTATTGTGAGACATAGCAAGCAGTGCTGGAAAGGAAAGCAGTTTCCAGCTTCTGAGGCATGGTGGTCTTTCTGATTTTTCGCAGTTAGCTTATATAAATAATTGCCTCATCTGAATGCCTCTCCATTGTGGAGCTGCTTAAAGTAGCAACTTTGTATTTGTAAAAGGCTGAGTACATCATTTCTCACATGAGGCCATGTTTCAAAGTACTGAATAGAGAAATTAAAGAAAAAAACAAACAACACTAATATTCTTTGCAAGCCTCATATTCTTTGCTATAGCATGAACACTATAGCATTTATCCAGAGGCAGCTGCAGACCCTGCCAGTCTGTAAGAACAGCAGCTGAGAACATCTAAAAAAAGAAGGAATATATGAAAGTTGAAAATTGTGGTGAGGTCTTCTTGGCACCTTGTTTTTTCTGCTCAGATCATTTGGAAACCTACTGCTTTAACTTCCTTGTAAAGAAGCTGAATTAGGAATCTCCAGGTACTTTCCTCTTGGGACCATTTCTGTAAGTTATAAAAATGCTGAAGTAGCTTAGACAGACTTACAGAAAGGAGGTATTGTTTGATGAGAGTTGCTAGTCTATCTCCCATTGATGAAAGGAATGGACACATCTCCCTAGAAGAGAAAGGATCCTGCAATAGTTAGGGAGCATTAAACCCCTTAAAGCAATTTCAAGGGACTGTATGAACTCCACACGGAAGCATACCTCCCAGAAGTACTTGTATCCTTGCCGGATCCTGAAAAGAGATCTGACCCCGATCCCTTGTCTCTCACAAGCCTACTAAACTGGTTCTGCTCATTTAAGGATCTTCATTTCTTTACAAACACATTTTAAGTGACAGTTACTTTGAGAAAATAAAAGAAGGCATTTTCTACTTTTCATTCATATCTTACATGCATACACGTGCAGATGTTTCCTCTTATCTTGGAGGTTTAAATGTCACCAAACCTTTGTGAATAATTTGCCAATTAAGAAAAAAAAAAAGCAACAGCACAATCAATCGTTTCCAACTTCTCCCAACTAAGCCCAAACTCAAAAAAACATTTCCCCAAAATAACTCACTTGTGTTAGCTTATGCAGGTGAGAAACTTTTGACAGTAAGAACAAATAGTCTATAGTACTATAGTATCCATTACATGAGGGAAATGTACCCTAGGTATTTCTTATATTCATATTTATGTAGATCCATCTAGTAGAGCAAGAGCCTCACAAAGCAGGGTGGGTTGGCTAAGGGTGAAGATGAAAGGGGCCTGAAGACTTCAAAAATATTTCCTAGGCAAACCGTACACAAAGGAATCAAGAGATTATGTGAAGAGCAAACACCAACCTCTCACCATGACAGCCAACCCCATTCTGTACAGTTACCTGAATGCCAGCCGGTTCCTAAAATAACAATTGATGTCGCTTTCTTTAATGTTCACTGGTGTTTAATTTTTCAAGTAATCAGTATTTTAAAATATACATTCAAGTGATTTTGAAGATTGCTATACAGAACCAAGAGGTGTTTTAAGGAAAAATTAAGCCATTGTGATGTTCCATGAACCATTCCCAAACTGACATTCCTAAAGCATTGCGAAAACTTTTTAAGGCAAGATCAACAGCTTATAAAATCATATTCATACATTTGCATAACTGTTAGGTTCCCCCTGGCCCTTCCATACTCCCCAAATCTGTTGATTTATTGAGAAAGACGGCCTCATCTTTATTTAACATAATAGAGATTACATGCATATATATCAGTGGAGTACTTGGGCTGCAGTGCCTAATGGCCTTCTGATATTTTTCCTAGATGCAAGTCCAAGCACAACGCAGTTCCAAAATTTATGTGCATGCTACCAAGCACGCAATTGGGAGCTGTGCTAGCATGGAAATTGCTTATGTTTATTTGCACCTCTCGATTTAGTCATTAGAAACCACCAGAGAAGAAGAAGATAACAGTTCTGGCACGGATCTATCAGTAACACTTTCTATTTTTTCCACTTCTGTTCTCCCAAGGCTTTTATTTTTTTCCCTCTGTTCCCCAGCCCTGGGAATGGCAGCTGAGTGAACTGGGAGCTCCTCTGGGTGCCGGCAGGCCTCCAGCTCCAACCTCACCCTTCCACGAGACCGCTGTACCTTTTAGAGCAGGTTTTAGCCTAACGTTGTTAACAAAGGACCGTCAGTACAACAAAATTTCTACGTTGTGGGGTCTGGAGAAGGGCGCACAGGGCGACAAATGGCTCCGGTGGGCCGAGCGGGCAAGCGGCAGCGCTGCCCTCAGCCTTCACCCCAGGGACCGACTCGGCCGACCGCCTTAATTACGCCCACGGTGCTGGAGCCACCTGCAGGTTCCGAAGGGCGAGAGGCCCCCCGGGGCGGCTCACAGCAGCCCTTCCCGGCCGATGCCCACAGTAGCAATTCCCGCCCGCCCCGAGGGCAGCCCCGCCGTACGGGACGGCCCATCGCGCGCGGCTCCTCGCGAGGCCGCGCGCCGTACCCGCTGGCGGAGAGCCGCTCCCTGGGGCGGGGAGGGGACGGGCGGCGCGGGGAGGCGGCACCGCTCTCCCACCTGCTCCCCCCCACCCCCGGCGGCGGCGAGGTTAGCGATGAGGCGGCCGCGGGGAGCGGCCGGAGGAGTTTGTTCTCTCCTCGTCTCCCCGATGCTCTGAGCCGGAGTCTCCTCCTCCCTCCGGGCTCGCACCGGGGCTGGATGCTCCGCTCGCTCCTCGCTCCGCAGCCGCCGCCCGATTCCCGCGAGCCATGGAGCCACCCGCAGCCGCCCTGGACAGCACTCCTGACCCCGCCATCGTGCAGCCCCCCGGGAGCAGCCCGCCCGTGCCTGCCCGGGAGCAGCAGCAGGAGCAGCTACGGATCGGGGAGAGCGGGCGGTTCGGCGAGGGGCCGGAGGACAGAGGTGAGCGCTTCGCACGGTTCTCTCGGGACGAGTCCCGTCACATCCCCGCTCCGTCCCCGGGCCCCTCCGAACCGGCATCCGTTTGTCAACCTGCCTCCAACCTACCCCGGGTTTTCCCTTTCCGAGATATTTTTATAAACTCCCTTCGTGGTCGTTCCCACCTCGACCGAAACTCGCCTGCTTGCCGCGGCGCTGCGCGGGAAGAGCCGCTCGGCTGTGAGGGGCGGGCAGGGCGCTGCGGTCCCGTCGTGGCACTTGCACTACCCCTGCCCCACGAAACTGTTGTTTTGTTATTTACCTGGTTGTCTGACCAGGGATGGAAAGCCGCCGGCTTCCAAACCGCGTCAGTTAGCTTTCAGCCTTAAAGGCGCTGATTTTGGACGCCGTTCCCTGTGTGCGTGGCTCTTGGCTTACCTGCTGCCCCCTGGGAGCGCCGCCAGCTGCCGTTGTAACTCTCCTCCGTAATGCCTCCATAACGCCTCCAGGCTCCCGATTCACGCAATTTGTCTCCATTTTTATTTCACATACCAGGCTTAGCATCTCTCTTGCATTCCTCCTTCCACTCCCCCCCCCCTTTCTCTCTCTCTCTTTTTTTTCTTTAAGCATCCCAAAGTCACTTCCACGTTCCCATCATACATGTAACCCCGTATCTCCTATTCTTCCCCAGCTCTACAAACTCCTGTTGTGCTTGCTTACATCTCCTGGGTGTGAAGTAGGGCAGCAGTGGGGAAGAGCAGTCACCGTCTTCCTGGCAGGTTTCAGTCACACTGGGGGCATCCGCTTCCCAGGGGAACCTGGCTGTGGCATCCGATGGCGGAGGACAGACATCTTGACTCAGGGCAGTTTGAGGCTTTGGTTCTATTCTAGATCATGAGCACCACAGATTTTGGTTGGGGTTCAGATGTGGATGTTTAAGTGCAGAAATTCTTAATTTGTGCCCAGTATGACAGAGCTAAAGATGAAAGCTGGCCATCTTGGTATGATTTCCTATAAGGGAGAATCTGATATACATAGCCTTATCTCTTCCTTGGAGTGAGAAGAGACTAAAGCTGATTCTATTTCTTTCTCTGTGTTCACACTCTCTCGTGGCCTTTGCAGTATCTTTTTCTCATCACTTTTCCTATAGTCACCAATTCCATCTACAGGCATAATTCCCAGTCATTGTAGAGGAAATCCTGGTATGCTTTTTGCAGGTTGTCCATATTGAAATTGTTACAGTCTGTCCTTTTAGACTGTACTGTTTCTAATGATCCTTTCCTATGAATCATAGCAGATCCAGTTATAGAGATGATACTTCCATGTTTGCTAAAAATAAAAAATAACCTCAAATTTTAGAACAAGATATTTACTCTTTAAGATGCAGATCCAGAATGAGTGGTAATTTTTCAGACGGGGTCTTCTAATGTCTTAGATGAACAATTTTCTGTTTGCCTTATCTCTTCCACAAATTCTGTCTTGACATTTTAAAATGATCTCTTAGCCAAACAGAAAAGTACTTCTGGTAAGTCAGCATATGGTAAAGAATATCCTAGAATTGCTTCACAAATATGCCAAGCTTGTGTTCTGCAACTGTGAGGCAGGTTTTTTCTACTTCTGATTTTTTTTTTTTTTTTTAAAATCTGCTAATATAGGAAGGTACTAAAAATAAAAAAATAAAAATCCAGTGGATTTAACCAGCTCATGATCTCTTCTTTACCTCAGGGATGTCTGTGTGTGAAATAAAATATTGGTAGTAAAAACATCCAGTATGTTAATTTTAGAATGGACGAATCTTAGCAGTAGATATTAGCTTTTCATTTCTGTTGTAATGCAGATTGCAGGTTCTTTCAGAATATCTTTCAGCCTCCAATGGTTGCTTAAAATTTGTTTTCTTATGGTCAGTGGAAAAAAAATTATGGAGGTTTACTTTCTGAATTGTGTTGTTGTGTGTAAATTAATGAGCTGGTGTTGATTTGTGTTATGTGAATCCTGCTATGGGTTTGGCAGTGATGTGAATGAGTTTGTATTATTCCATGCCATCCCCTAGGACACTCCTAAAAACAATGTGATCCTTCATTTTGGGATTAAAATGTTAAATATGGTAAATGTATTTGAATTCTTATAGGAAGGAAGGGATCACCTCTCTGATAGCTGGAATATACCAGCCATTTTGAGAGAGAGAACGACACACACACACACGGCAGAAGTGGTTCTGTTTTATAAGGATTGCAGTCTCTGTTGTACTGGACATGTGCTTGACACATGAATAGCAATCAGGAGTTCTATGCTAGCCATGGGGCTTATTATTCATTTCTCAATTTAATTAGGATACTATTTGATTTGTAATTATCAACTGTATATGTTGGTCTTCCCAGGTAGTAGTGAGCAGTAGCCATGAACTGTAGGATGTCTTTAAAGAATGAACCAGGTGAGGATGTCTGCCATTCTCTTCTGTGTTTATTTCAGATTTGAGGTCTTGGTAGTCAGAATTGGCTTAGGGAAACCACCTCGTTTTGCATTCCAACAAGATTTGGGCCTTAATTTAGAATTTTTGAACTGGGGAGAGTGGAGAGGGGGGAAAATACCACAAACATAAGAAGGTGCTCTCTGCATTATTACATTAGTAGAAATTAATTCTTTATTTCAAGATCTGTTTTTAATGACCTCACAGCAGATAGCAATTAAACTGTATATATATACTGAAAAAATATAGGTGAAACATTGCAAAAATACAGGCCCATTCCTTTGCACGAGTGAAGGCAGACTGTGTAAGAAATGGCTGTGCAGTCCTGTAAGGGACTCAGACCTTTCAGAGTTGTCATCTGGTAGATTTCAGGTATTAGAAGAAGAACTCACGTAGTAAGAAGCAAACACTGTTTCATAATAGGCCTTCATTTTTTGTTCATAAAGAGGGCAGCGTGTAGTACAAAAGGCAGGCAGTATTTTAAGTTTTCTGAGAATACAGGAACAGCATTAAATTCTCCCAGTTTCTTTCTGGACTCTCATAGAGAAACTCTGTTCACTTTCCTTGCAGGAATAAAAAAGTGTAAAACATTTTTCCAAGAGGGAGTGGATGTGACCAGCAAGACTTGGATTAGAACTGGTCATTCTGACAGGCTTGAAATGGCAGAATAAAATCTGGTGGCTGAAATTGTTCCTACCCTTGGACGCCTGCCCCCCACTGACACATGCTGCCCCTGAGGCAGAGATGGCTGATCCACTTCTGCATTGATTGCAAAACCAATGCAGTTTACAGCCAGCGTATTACGGTCAGTTGAAATTAATATCTGGTAACATTAACGGACTGAGTGAAGCATGATGTAGAGTCAGGAGCACACCTATGAGCAGATCGCTTGTCCTCACCCTCAAGTGACAATGAGAGAAAGACTGGAGATAAAACTGGGGAAGGTGAGGATATTACAGCTTCAGCTGTTAGATTGTGATCTGCTTCTGTTCTCTAGCCCTTGCCTAAGGTGTGAGACCAGATGAAAGACTGCATTATTAAACTGGTGTTGTGTACACTGGGGGCAGGCGAGATAGTCATCTGAGAAAAGCCACCCACAATTCCTGGAGTAATTCGTTAAGAAAGTGAAAAATCATTGTGCCTTCTCTTACCAGCTGAGCAGATTTGAGTTGCAACTTGCTGGTGAAAAAGAAGTATTTGTGTGTTTTAAATGAAATAAGTATCTTCAGCAGGAAAGAATCTGGATGGGATAAACAAGACAAGCCTGTTTGGTTATGAATGCAACCCAAAAAGTGGCTTAAAACCCAGGCTGAGAGAACAAAAGCCAATTAAAGCAATTTTATTTTATTTTTTAACTTGAATTCTTTTCTGCTATTTAAGACAAGTGGAAAAAAAAAATCCACTAATGGAAAGCATCAGTAATGAGAGAAAGCAGTCCTGTTTGCTTCTGTTAGCAGACTTTTACCCTGATTGCAGTAAGGTCAGAATTGTTCTTCAATCAGTCCCTAATGCAGCTTCTGGTTGGAGATGCATTCTTGCTATGTGGGACTGTGCTTCAAGGGGTCTTTTCAACTGTGATAGCTTTGCTTCTAAGGAGTGCCTGCTTCTACTTTGATGAGCAATATGCTCACGTATTTCCGTGCATTGGTAGGTTACTTCTCAGAGACCGTCAGACCTGCATTTTCCTCCTATGTTTATTGTGTTCAGGATCCTGAATTCCTGAAATGATTTTTGGTTTCAGTGAGTGTAGCATTGGGCCCTTCATTGTGTGGATGTAAAGGTGGAAAACAGTGATGGAAATTTCTGTTCACTGCTGTACAGTTGCAGTGCTCTTTTAAGTGACTGAGGTGCAAGCTTTCTATTCTTTGTGAAATCAAAACAGCTTGTGTGTGCTTTGCTTGCTTACTCATACATTTTTGATGGCTTCACTCACCTAACCATGATCGTGTGAGGAGGGTTTGATTCTGTATTGATTCTAACAGTAATATAGAATGTGAATGTGAGATTTAGGTCTGAACTAACGCAGCTGTGCCTTTAAAAAGAGCAATGTATTGTTCATACCCTCTTTGCTTATTGCTTATCAGGTTTACTAGAAAGCAGTACAAGGCTAAAACCTCATGAAGCTCAAAGCTACAGAAAGAAGGCATTGTGGGTTTCCTGGGTCTCCATTATTGTCACACTGGCTCTTGCAGTGGCTGCTTTCAGTGAGTATTGGGAATATTTTAAATCTTCACACCTCTTTCTTTTTCTTTTCTCCTCTATTTTTTTTTTTTTTTTTAATATATTTTTTTTCCTTGCATTCTTTTGGGTTCTCAGAATTTCTCAGAATCTTTATGGAAGCTTTCTCATGTTTCTTTGCAACTGCTGAAAAGATTTCTCTCTGGGCTGCCTGTGTCTGCAGAGTGCTTATGAATTAGTAAAACTGTTGGTTTTTTTCTGCAAAGAACAAGGTTGTTGAAGGTCAGAGAAAGAAACAGGAGATGTTGATTCCTGCTAGCATTTATGCATGTGAAATTGTTCATTTTACGGAGTACAGTAAAAAATCATTATGCACTGAATTGCCTTTAACCAAAGAGGTCAAATAAGCCTTAATCCACCTGGGATTCATAGTTGCAACAGTATAAGAAATATTAATGAATTATAAGGGGAAATATATAGTTTTTTTACTTGGCAGGTACTCGAAGACAGCGTTAACGTGGAGGAACAAAACCAGCCTCTTGTTAAGCTGGTGGTTTTCTATAATTCTCAGGACATATTGTCTATTTTGCCTTTACACAAAGAATTCAGGAAAAAAGAACCCAACGCATTGAACCAAAACATCTTTACTTTGAAAAATATATTTCTTGTATTTCAAAACAGGAAAAAAATACTGCATTGTCTAAATAAAGATATATTTTAGTTTAGTGCAAAAATGCACTAAATTGTCATAAAAACAAAAAGAATTGTGGAACCTGGATCAAAATGTTTGCAATGGTATGTTCTCTACTTAAAAGGGGGGGGGGGGGAACACAAAAAAACCCATGATTTTTCAGCTTGATAAAGGCAGACTTGCTTTTTTGTTGTGGTTTTTGTTTGTTTTTGAAGCTGCAGCAGCATGTGTTTTATTATCCTAATCTACAGCCTTCGACCTGCTGCTGGAAGTTGGTGTCAGCTCCCAGGAGGCGTTATTAGAATCTGACCAAATGGTCTCTGAAAACTGGACGTACATGACTTGGAGCAATTTTAATAGAAATTCAGGTACAATAGCCTGATTCAAAAAGCAGAGAAAAGAGCAGGAATGCTTGAGAGCAAAATCTAGCACTGTAAAAAGAATTTGAATATTAACAACAATGCAGGACAGCTGAATGAAAAGGCTCTAGTCTGTCTTTTGTACTGAGGAAACTATGTTTTAGAACAAAACAATCTTAGGGAATATTGAGAAATGGCTTGATTTTGTCAGAGTTACAAAATATAAGTACAAAATGGGCAATAAAACACTCAATTTCTTTTAAAAAGATATTTTTAAAAAATTAGGCTGCACGGAAGCTTTTTATTTTCTGTTTTACTTATTTGTGGCAATCATAGTGTTGAGAAACTACAAAAAGAAACCCAGAAAAACAACCTAGCAATAAAGAAGGTGGTCTCTGCCTGCATGCACTGTTTCTGCATGTTCAGTTGCAGTGGATGGCATTGAACTGCTGAAGTCAGCTGTTAATAGCAGACTGATTTTTGAATCTTTTCTTGTGATCTGATGGGGCTGAATTTGTGAAGAGCAGAGGGGGAACCAGCTGAAGTATTGTTAGGGCTTCTGCTATTCTTAACATTAAAACTTTATAATATTTGAAGAAAATACGGTGGTTCATCGTTTTGCTTCCCCATGTCATCTTTGCAGTTCTACTCAGTTTATTGTTTTACACTGGCTGAGTTCACCCTTTTTACTGTCCTTTTAGCAGGTTCCTCTAGCCAATCCATGGGTTGGGAGGCATGGCAGCTTACCAGAGTGGTGTCCTGTTTGATATAAATAACGAGTTGTCACTTTGGGGTGTCTGACACTGCCAGTTCTTTGCAAACACCTGCTATTTAAAGCATCCCATTTCCTTTTTACCCCTTGTCTGTGGTGGTAAGGTGTTAGCAACGTATCCCTGATGTTGTATTTCAGTGAAAAATGGGGACCTGCTGTGCTAATTGTGTGACTGCACTGTCTGTTCTCTTGCAGCACTGACTGTATTCTCACTGCTCTTTATGATTTCCATAAAAAGTCTTTATGTAAATACTTACATAGGCCTTAAAATACTTTCTTCTAATGTAACTTACAACACTGCATTTGCAGCTGCAGTTGAAGTCATAAAGATACTTGGCTAGGGAACTGAATTACTTGATAAATGCAGATGAGGCAATGGAGGACCTGAAGGGTAGGAAAAATTCTAAGGGGAACAATGCTTGTTGCATGGTCTGTGTGCAGAATGGGGAGATGGTTCAGAAATCTCCTGGTTCTGTTTTTAACTAGACTTCGTTCTGTTTCTAATGGCCTGCCCCTCTGTATTGGGCTTACTCTTAAAAAGACCTTCTGACCAAAATTTCCACACAGAGTACTGTGGTGTATGGAGGAGCAGGATGGCTGCTGGACAGCAGGTCTCATTTGGGTCTCTGGGTGTCTTTTCGTGACATCTTTCTGCTGCTCTTTAGAACCTATATTCCTGATGGGACATTGCTGGTGGCAACTTTTTGGTAACTGAGGAGGATGGGAAGCAAATTATTGAATGTGTTTTATTTTGGGAGTTAAATGTGTATAAATTAAAATGATGATATTCTTACATATGCTTGTATATATATATACATATATATATGTATGTTTTATAATTGCCTCAGGTGATTGGAATTTGTTCTTTCCGATACGGGCTATTTTGTGGGTTTAAGTACTGGAAGGGAGGAGGAGAATTGTTGATGTATGCATCAAAGTTGGGTTTGTTCTCAGCATTTAAGAGGTTGAATTAGTCTAGTTGGGTCTGGAACAAATCGACTGCTTAAGGGAAAATGAAACTGCTATCTTTTGTTCACAAACGTTGAGAAGTAGAACTTCCATAACAGCAAAATCAGGGTTTTCCTTCAACTGAATGAAAAGATCTCTTGCCATCAGGCATTTAATATACTTCATTTTACCACAGAAGTGCTGTACTTTTAAAAGACCACTTGGAAGCTTCAGCAGTCTCTAAACACTGCTTTCCCATCTCTAAACACAACACCTGCACTGGATGGTAACTGGGATCCCTTCAGCTCTGGGTGCTGCTGAAGGTATTGCTTGCCAGCACGTAGTTGCACAAGGCTTCTGTGAAGTCCTTAAATACTTCAGTTTGTAAAACTGTTGTTGTCAGCAGAACCTTATGATGTTGTCTATAGTGGCTGTAAGTTAGGCTTGCTTAGGATCAGTTATGCATATTCTGACATTTGTGGGTTTTGTGCAATATGTTTACGTTCAGATACTGAGCAATGCCTGACAGATCAGTCGATTTCACTTTTCATTTCTGTGTTGCCTGAAATATCCATGCTTGTGGAATTATCATCGAGAGTGGATTTTGATCCTTTCAAATATGTAGTCAGAAACAGAGCCTAAGCACAATAAAAGTTACAAAGATGAATGTTGGCTTGTTGCTCAGCACCCCAAGTAGTAATGGAGTAACCATGTTGATATAATTACATCTCTCTGATATACAGTAACCCAAGAGAAGAATGTTAGCATAATAAAACACTTTTAATGCATATTTGTGTGTACTATAATGGTGCAATCTAAATCATTTTGTAATAACCATAACTTCTTTCTGGAGCTGCAGTACTGTAAGTTCATAGTGAGCCTTGTTTCAGTGTTACAATAGAGAATGAGGGATTGCTACAGGTGGAATGGAATTTCTGTGTTTTGAAATGTTACTCTTTGTGTCTTGACATTCCTGGTACTAAAGTCTAATTCTGAAAAATACACAAGTATGGCTTTTGCTGTTCTAGTTTAGTTTCTACCCGAAGACCTAATCTCTGATAACACTACAAAAGCAGAAAACATCTCACATTCTCTCTGGTATTTCTTGTCCAGCTTAGATTTGTGATTCACAGAAAGCATTCTGTTCATTCATCTTCTTGATTTGATTAACTAAAATTGATAAAATTGTTTCCCAATGAATGGAGCAGTCATATCAATATACCACAACAACGTACAGACAAAATTCTGCACTGAATGCCCTCTTTGTAGTCAGAGGTTGGGTAGATTCATAGTCAGAGCTTGATTTAAAATGTATGCCTGCTTTGTGAAGGGTGGCTGTCGAGAAGGAACTTGGAGACAGCCTATCCCAGTGTGGCTGCAGCAGGCCTGAATAGGCTCTGCAAGTGGATGCATCACTGAAAAAGCTGACATTGGGCTATTTGCAAAATGCTGAGGAAAGAGCTGTCAGAAACCAGAAAGTTATTTTATTAAAGCAAACTTCCATGTTGCTGAAATTAGAGAAGCACGTTGCTTGAAACGCGGGGAGAAAGAAGTTTGGGGTTAGGAATTCCTCACAGTTCAGATGGCTCATGCTAGTTCAGATTCTCTACATTCAAATGCCTACAAACATTAGAAAGTCTGGATCCAGGCCCACTTTTTTTCATTCAAATAACTAAACCCAGCCATCATATCACATTTTGGCTCCCTGTAGGACGTGTTTGCTGATTCTTCTCCCCTGTGATGTTATTCTGATGCAGTGAAAATGGAGTTACATGGGAGAAACTGAGCAAGTGAAGATGTCCTCTGGATGCTCAGATGTGGATGTTGTGGTGTAATGCCTCATTTCTCATCTCAGGCATGCTGCCTATACAACTGAGTTGGGGGTGGCTATGTTAATTTATTAATGAATGTATCATTTTCCCAGTGACCTATTCCTGATGTTGCTTGAAAAAAGTTAAATATATGAGGACTTTCCTTCATGTTTGCACAGCAGCGTTCTCTGGGCACAGAGTGTTAGCATACAGCGCTAACAGAAAATGTAGATAAAGGCTCATGACTCTGAGGCTCTTTATTTTGGATGTCCAATTCAACATTATTTAAAGGTCACTGAATTTTGGAAAAATGCTGGGCATTCTGAACTCAGACCTGTGTAACAGTGTGTCAGCTGTGTACCTGAGCAGAATTCTCCAGGATCCCCAATGGCATGGAAAGTCTTGGTGTTTTCTGTTCTGGGAGCTGCACAGAATCGCATTTCTC